CTAACACTCCAGGAATTATCAGATACAATGAAAATATACAAAGAGCCAACTGACAATCTTTTAAGCCAAATTAGAAAAGCAAAACATATGCCACAGAAAGATGAAGGTAGAGGGGAAATGACTTTGGAAGGAATAACACATCCCAAAGGAATAGCTTTGAAAACAAAGAAACCGTCAATTTCACAGAAATTGCCACTAAACATCAAAGAAAAAGAGAAAAAGATGCAGGAAGATAAAGACAAACAAGCTGGGATTCAGAGTAAATCTTGTACTTCCATCTCTCTTCCACCTTACTCTGAATTGAACACAAGAATAAAAGGAGAGGAAGGCATGCTAATAAAAAGATCTTCTTTTCAACAACTAAATCTTCAGAAGCTATCATATGTAAGGAAAATAGCATATAAAAGATCTATTTGTGGTGATATTTCAAACAGTGTAAAAAAAGCCAAAGAACATATGATGGAGGAAGAAGAGGAAGTAAAAATGGCTAAAGTTATACCTTTGAAGAAAAAGAAGTCACCAGTTTCACAGGAATTTCAGTTGGACATCAAAGAGCAAGAGAAAAAGGTACAAAAAGTTACAGATAAACCAAGTATGGTTCTGTCTAATACCAGCACTTCCATACCACCTCCATCTCATGTAAAATTAGATACAAGAAGGAAAATAGAGGAAAATATAATGGAAATAAAAAGAAACTCTCTTTCAGAACTGTCACACCAGAAATCATCTGATGCAGTGAAAACAGCTAGTAAAGAGTCCATTGGGGGTGATATCATTAATCATGCACAAAAAGCAAAAAAATATATGCTGCAGAAAGAAGAGGATAAAGTACAGGTATCATCCATAGGAGACATAATATATCCAAGAGGTAAAGATTTGAAGGTAGAGAAAGTATTTTCACAATACCTATCATTGGACCTTAAAGAGCAAAGGAAAATGAATCAAGAAGGTAAAGGTGAACAGGAAGCAACCTTGACCACAAATTGGGCTTGTGAATCTTTTCTAACTCATCATGAGTTGGACAAAAGAATAGAAAGAGAGAAAGATACACAAGATATAACAAGATCTGCTATTTCACAACTACAGCCCCAGAAATCATTTGATGCAGAGAAAATAGCACATACAAAATCAGTTGGAGATGATATCCCAGGTGTTGTAAAAACAGTACAAGAGTACAAGCCACAGAAAGGAGAGGAGAGAGGAGAAATAGTAAATGTGAAATACGTAATGCACCCTAAAGGCACAACCTCCAAGGCAAAGGAATTACCATTTTCACATGTGCGCAGTATCACTGGAGGTGTTGGGCCCAAAACTGGAGAAGTACAAATGAATATAAAAGAGAAAATGGGATATGTACAGGAAAGAAAAAGTGAACAAGAAGAGGTCCTGACAATACCATCTCCACCTCACTTTGAATTAGACACAGGTATAGAAAGCAAGAAAGACAAACTAAGAGTAGCAAGATCTTTTCTTCCACCACCATGTCACATGGGACCTTCTGATGCGGGGAAACGAAAGTATACAATGTCGACTTTGAATGATATCTTAAGCGATTTAAAAACAACAAAATATATGACACAAAAAGAAGAGGATGAAGTAAATATTGCCATTGAGAAAGGCATAATGCATCCTAAGTACCTTGCTTTCAGGGCAAAGAAATCACCCCTTTCCCAAATACTCAATACAAATAAACTTCAACTGACCATTAAAGAGCAAGAGAAAAGGGGGCAGGAAGGTAAAGGAGAAACGGTTGTGATCCTGAGCAAAACTTATACTTTTGCAACCTCTTCAACTCACCTTAAATTAGACACAATAAAAGAAGAGGAGGGTGAGCTAGGAATAATAAGAGACTACGTACCACATCTTGAGCTCCAGGAATCATTGGCTTCTGGGCAAATAGCATCTACAGAGTCAGTGGAGAGTAACATTTTGAGCCACACAAAGAAAAGAAAACATCTACGACAGAAAGAGGACAGAGTAAAAACAGCCATGAATGGGTTGATGCACCTCAAAGACACAGTTTTCAAAGCAAAGATATCACCACTTCCATATGTGTTCAGCATCACTGAGGATGGTTCTCTGACCACGAGGAAGGAACCACAGTGGAGCATTAAAAGGAAAGTAGAACAGGAGCTGGAAAGAAAAGGAGAACCTGATGTGATTCTGACAGAAACTCATACTTCCATGCCTTCTCCATCTCACCACAGATTAGATACAAGAATCAAAGTAGACAAAGACTCGCTTGCAATTATAAGATGCTCTCTTTCACAATTAAAGACCCATGTACCATCAGATGCAGGGAAAATCAGATGTGCAGAGTCAAATAAAGGGAATAGTTCACATAATGTAATAAAAGCAAATCAGCATATGCCACATACAGAGGCAAAAGACAGAAAAAAAATGGAAGATAGGAAAGGTATAACACTCCTCAAATTAATAACTTTGAAATCAAAGCCATCCCCACATCTATTAGAGTATAACTTTGACAAACGAAAGAAAGTAGCTTTGTGGAATAAAGATGCCTCAGGAATATTTATCAGAAGTCTCTCTATTTCTATGATGAGTCCACCTCACACTAAAGAGCAAGGAGATGAAGTTCGGGAAAGCAAAGGTAAACCAGGTAAACCAGTGGTTCTCAGAAGAACTTCTGCTTCCTTACCTTCTCCTCCATCTTACCTTAAAAGGAGCACTAGAGTGAATGAAAAGGAAAGCAGAGTAAGAATAACACAATCCTATTTTCCACCACCAAAGAGTCAAGATCCCTTAGATTCAGGCAAAAAAGCATATACTGAGTCAATTGATGATTATATGTTAAGCAACAGAAAAGGACCAATACAATCTATAACACAGAAAGAAGAGGAAGATAGAAGACTCAAAATAGATGTGAAAGAGAAAATGCTCCCAACAAGTGTGAATTTGAAGGCAAATACATTACAGTGGGAAATTGAAGAGCAAGAGAGAGCATTGCAGGAAAACAAAAATGAACTAGTTCTAGATCTGAAAACCATTTTTGTTTCTTTACTTACTCCACCACATCTTAAATTGGATACAGCAGAAGGGGAGACATACATGATAAGAATTACAAAATTGCCTCTTCCACAACTGAAGTCCAAGGAATCAACAGATGCAGAGAAAATAGCATATCCAGAAACAATTGATGGAAAACTCTCAAGTAGTGTAAAAGAATTAAGAGAACAGATGCTAAAGAAAGAAGAGAAGAATAGAGAAAAAACCATGGATATTAATGGTATAGTGGATCCCAATGATATGTATTTAAAGGCAAAGAAACCACCTATTTTACATACACACAACCTAACTGACGTGGAAACTAAGGAACAAGAGGAAAAAGTCCAAGAAGATAAAGGTGATCCAGATATTGTGGTGACTAAAACTTGTGCTTCCAGGTCTTCCCCACCTCTCCTTAAAATGAATAACAGAATCAAGGAAGAAGGCATGCCAATATTAACAAGACCCTCCTTTTCACAAGTCAATGTCCAAGAATCATCAGATTCTGGGGAAGTAGTCTATGCAAAGCCAATTACTAGTGATGTTTTAATCAATCTGAAAAAAGGAAGACAACATATACCAGAAAAAAAGGAAGAGGATGGATTGGAAATAGCAAACATCATAATGCAGGAATGCAACGATGAACCAGGTGTGGTTCTGACTAAACCTTCTACTTCATTACCATTTCTACCTCACCTCAGATTGGATAAAGAAATACAAGTGGATGATGAAATGCTAGGAATTACAGGGTCTGTTTTGCAGACAATATCAAATGCAGGGGAAATCATACATACCGAATCAATTGGGGGTGATATCACAAAAGATATTAAAAACAGAAAACAACATATACCTCAGAAAGAAGAGAGGGACAGAGCTGTAAGAGACACAATGCATCCCACAGATATAACTCTGAAGGCAAAGAAATCACCTCCTTCAAATGTGCTCCATAGAACAGAATTGCATCTGAACATTAGAAGTCCAGAAAAAAAGGAACGGGGAAGTCGAGCTAAACCACCATGTACGGTTCTAAGAAAAATGTATACTTCTGAACCTTCTCCATCTAAGCTTAAATTGGATAAAGGTACACAAGTAGATGAAGAAATGCTAGAAATTAGAAAATCCTCTCTATGCTCACTAAAGCTTTCAGCGGCATCATATGCAAAGAAAATAGAGGCAATTGATGGTGATGTGAGGAAACAAAAACAACATATGTCACAGAAAAAAGAAGGGTACAAGGTGAAAACAGTAGATGTGAAGATGGGGATGCATGGCAAAGGTACAAAGATTTCACCAATTTCACATATGCTTAATACAAGGAAATTAGTGTTAAATATTAGAACGCCAGAAGGAAAAGGGCACGAAGGTAAAGATGAACCATGTGTGGTTCTGACAAAGACGTTTCTTTCCATACCATCTGCACCTCCCCTTTTTATGGATTCAGGAATCAAAATGGACACAGACAAACCAGAAATTACTGGATCCTCTCTTCCACAACAACATCATCAGGAATCATCAGATACCCAGAAACTTGCAAACAGAATGTCAGTTGATGGTGATAGTAAAAACAGTTTTAAAAGAATAGAACACCGTGTGCCGCAAAAAGAGACAGTGCAACAGTATACCTCAAACTTTCTGATCAGTGTACAGCAAAGGAAGGAACTTCCCCGTGTAAAATCAGAAGGAGAGCTCAATCGGTTAGTCTTAAATTCACAAGAAGAGGGTATTTATTTCACAGGATTTGGTACTATAAGAAGTCAAAAAAGGATGGAATGGCTCTTTACAGAGCAAAAGGCTCAGCCAGAAAAATACAGAACAGAAACATTTACCACGTTTCTTTCCTACCCCACAATGGGTCCAACTAAAATTGGAAAAATGCATCCTAAGGTTTCAGTTCCACTGTCAAGGGAAATATCCAAGGAAATGTTTATCACATTTGGCACCCCTGTAAGTTCAAAAGGACAAGAATTGTCTGTTTCAAAGCGAGATGCCCAGCAACAAGAAACTTCATCAAAAGCATCTCTAGAATCTGTGGATTCACATAAATTTGTTCAGCCAGAAAAAGATGTACAGAGTAACAACAAAATAAGCAAAATGCTTTCTCCCCAAGTGTCGGCACCACAGACAAAAGAATCGCCAGAGAAAATGGATATCACAGAATTGAATCCCCCCCAAAATATGGAAGAACAAGAGATGTTCATGAAAAAGCAAGTGGTGCAGCAGGCTGAGAGTGAAGTCAAGAGCATGTCCAACTCAATCCTTTCTCTTAAGTTTTCACTTCAAAATGGAGAGCAGAAGACGGTATTGGAAATAGATGTGAACAAGAAAATTGCAATGTCCCCTGGAGTTCTACCAGAAATACAGGGTATTACACAGCTTGTTGACACAAGAGGGCAAAAAGAACAGGCATTGCTTGTTTCAGAACTAGTGGGATGTATTCTAGAATCACTTCAGAAATCTCTTGTTCCCCACTTGGCTTTTCTGCTTCACTCTAGAGATCTGGAGGGAAACAATGAAAATGGCACAAGCACTACTATAAATCTGGAACAGAAAAAATTAGAAATGAACAGTAACAGTACTGTGAATCAGGAAGAAGGGAAATTAAAAATAGATACAAGCAAAGCTGTACAACCGAAAGAGGAAAAAATAGAAACGCCCAAGAACAGTACTGTGAATCTGGAGAAGGATAAAATAAAAATGGACTCAAGTCATGCTGTAAATATGGATGATCCATCTCTAAAGGCAAAGGAATCTCAAATTAAGACTCAGGCGATCACTCATATTGTGGACAACTGCTCAATCGAGCAAAAACATAAAAAAGAACTGGAAGTGTCGAGTGCAAAGCAAAACACTCAGCCACAGAAACTTTCTCAAAGGACTGTTCTGGATTCATTTTATGCCTATATTCCTCTTTCTTCCAAATTTGAAGGCCGGAAAGGTAGATTAACAATAACAGATTTGAAAAGAGAATTGAACCCCAACTATTTAACTATGAAAGTCCCAACTCACCCAATTTCACAGATACTTAGAATCACAGGACATGGTGCTCCAAACAATAGAAAGAAATTAGAGTATAACTTTGACAAACAAAAGAAAATGGCTTTGTGGAATAAAGACACCTCAGGAATATTTATCAGAAGTCTCTCTATTTCTATGACGAGTCTACCTCACACTAAAGAAGTCATAGAATCCGAGACAAACCCAGAAAGGAAACGGAGAATCTGTCTTTCTAAATTCCAGGAGAAATCACCAAACGCTAGTGAAATTGCTAGGAGAGCTGCCTCAAGCACTAGAAAAGAAAGGAAACGGAATTTTACAAAAATGCTCCCAGAAGATTCCCAGCCCTTCATGGTTGATGAACAACAAATGAAGAGACTTCTTCGCGTCAGAGCAAACATTAGTGGTGAAATAAGTAAAACAAATCTAACTTCACAAACAAGAGAGATCATTCCAGGGCATGATGCCTCAAAAATTATAAAACAACCTGATTCGCATATTATTGATCAAGAAGAAAATATACCAAAACTCATGCTGGAACCCACAAAGTTTCCATCGATGTTTGAAGATCCAAAGGAAAATGTGGATACACACGTTGGAAGTACCATAAGTATGAATGTCCTACCTCCAGAGGTAGAGAAATCACAATGTGGGAATCAGCTGTCTGATACTACGGAGTGTGCTTTACAAGCCAAGGAAAAGGATCCGAGTGAACCAGTATGGGATACAACCACACCAACGATGCAGCAACGAAAAGCTTTACTAGGAACTGTTCCAAAATCTGGTTATGTCCACGTGCCCATGCCACCCCAAATTGAAAGCAATGAAATGAAAATAGTGGCAGATAGTACAAGTGCTGAAAGTTCACTTCCTGTTTATGGAGAAATGAAAAATGTTCTTGAATCCCAGGGAGAAAATATCATGGCTGAGAGGAATCAAAAATTTGTAAACCAAAGAGATAAGTCTCTAAAGGAACAATCATTCACTTCTGTTAAGCTCAAAGACAGCGTTCCTGCTGATAAGCTAGAGAAAGTGCAAGACCATAAACCTGATTACTTGAAGTCATCAACAACAGTACATCCCAAATTGCAGCCAAAGCCCTTTTTCAATTTTACTACTGAAGGGAAAAATCAGCTCCCTAACCACTTAGAGTCAAAAGCCCTTGAAATAAAACTGAGTCTGATACCAGAAATAGCAAATAAATCCTTGCAAAAGTTCGACACTTATCCAAAGCAACCTATTTCAGAAGAAGATAGCAGTTGGTGGCTATATCCAAGATATAAAACAGTGTGTTTTATGTCTCTAGAAGGGATTGATACTATAGAACTTAATTTAAAACAAAAAGATTCCCCTATCAGCTGTATGAAGCCACTGATTGTTAATGTTTCAAGCGGCAATGAGGAGGTTATTACTAAGTTAAAGAGTACTAATAAATTAGTATTAAGTGGAAAATCCTCAATGACTCCAGCTGGTAATGAGATGCCATCACCTCATATTCTCCAAAACTGCTCAGTAGAAGAAAAAGACAAACTTCTCATGCACTTTTCTATGAAAACATTGGAGATTCGAATGAAAGCGTTTCCCAAAATTGTAAGAGAATCTTTTGCAGTGGCCAATGTTCAGGACAGAAGGAAACCTTTATCAAAATGTATTCCTTCTGCTGTCAGAGTTCCAAAACAAAGAAACAAAATTTTATTATTATTTGAGGAGAAATCTCTTCATAAAATAGATCTGGATTTACAGTACAAATACCTTTGTTTTCAGCTGGGGCTTACTGCTGAAAGTATGTTCCCTAAACCAAATGAACTTCCACAACATAAATTAAACACAAGTACAATATGTAAAAAAGTAGACAGTGTTGGAGAAAGTTGTGATTTTCCGGTTGATACAAAACTGTTAGAACCACATATCTCTTTCAAAAAGCCAAGTTCTCATGAAAGCTCATCACTGATCGGAAAATTCCCAGAGCCAACTCATGTGGGTGCTTCTAACCCTGATCTACACAGCACAGTGCTAAAAGATACTTATGTTGTTTCAGAATCAGAATCTCAGGTGACCCCAGAAAAAGATAAAGAATATCATGTCTGGTTTCAAAAAACAAATGCATATAAATCTTTTGACTTTAAAACTCAGGGAAATATTAGTTTAACTGATACACATTCAATTCAGATTTCTGAAGATATTACTGACATTCAGACAAATATGGAGAGTTCAGCTAACTTAGAGAAATGTCCATCTCTTGAAATATATGAGAGTGAGGAATACATATTTTTAGAAGCCAGCCCTTATTTAAGTCAGGAACCACAAAGTATTCCATTTGAGTTACAGGAAGGCATTCCTTTGGAAAATATCTACCAGATGAAAAATATCAAAACTGATTCGAAACAATTTTACAGTGAAGATTCATGTTCCCATGGTATTAGAGGCTGTAGAAAACACACCTTAATTATGCCACCACCTTCCTATAAACCCCACAAAAACAAAAAATATAGATCATCCTCCAAAAGGCAATCTCCTGATTGGTTTTGCCAGAGTTCATTAAATACTGCAAAAATTCAGTCTATGTCATCTATATCGTTCAGTGAAGAGAAACTTTCATGGACTACAAGGAGCAAATCAAGCTACTCTATAGCTCCCTTAACTGAATCAAATATCAAATTGCATCTTGCAAAAAATCAAGGCAAACCTCACATGCATCTAGAAAGCAAAGAAAGGAAGAAGCCAAAATTTGATTTATTTAGAAAGAACAACATTCATTTGGACTATGATTACAGTTATTCACTAAGTAAACAGAAAAGGCCAAGAAAAAAGAAAGTGCATTATTATGAATCAGAAAGCTCAGCATGGTATTCCCAAAGCAGACATAAGTCATCATCAAAACCTCAACAAGAATATATCGACTTCCATTCTGCAACAAAACAAAGCAAACCATTTTTTTATGCCTGTATACCAGCAGACTCAATGGAGATCATTCCGAAAACCATTCGCTGGACAATTCCTACCAAAACCTTAAAGAAGAGAAACTTCACCATTCCCCTGGTGGCAAAGATGTCAAATTCCTGGAATATACTGAGTTCATCCAAAAAGTTGTTGGGGTCATTCTCAGGGTCCTTTAGCTCAACTCCAGTTCATCAAAAATGATATTACTATATCCAGATTCCTCTTAAGTGGAAAGCTGGTTGCTATTGGGGTAGTCTGTAAGAAAACAATATAAAGTCAAATGCTTTCTTCATGAAGTGTTGTCTAAGCTGACGTATTTTATTTCTGCATCATAGTTGTTGTTATTACGTGCTGTCCAATCGGTTCTGACTCATAGAGACCCTATAGGCCAGAGTAGACTGCCCCATAGGGTTTCCAAGGAATGGCTGGTGGTTTCGAACTGCTGACCTTTTGGTTAGCAGCCAAGCTCTTCACCACTGCGCCACCTGGCCTCCATTTCTGCATTAGCCTTGTGCAATTGTTCTGAGAGGCTAGGATGGGAAGGCAGCTGACTTTGGGTTTGGTCCTACCTTGCGTGACCTTTCCTTTTAATTTATGCCGCCTCCTCATAATTCTAAGAGGGAAGCGCTCACTCCACCCTACACCAATGATTAAAGGATGAGTAAGAGGAATTGTGGGCTCTAGTGAGACCAAGAGCGAATGGCTAGAGAGTTAGGAAGGCAGGGACATAGAAACTAAAAGAGGGAAGATGTCAAGTGAAGGTGAGGGTTCAACAGAGTCAAATGACACAAAACACTGAGCTAAGTACTGAGTTATGCCTGTTGGGCTTGACAACCAGACTGAATATTTTAGTACTTTGAATTAGAATTTTTAATATAGACAAAATAGTATAATGGACCTCTCTATACCCATCACCCAGTCCCCAAACTTTTGACCTATAGCCAGACCTGCCTTATTCACTTTCCATCCACATCTACATTAGTATGTTGAAGCAAATTCCAGATATATATCATTTTGTCTATAAATATTCTGATATATCTACAAGAACTATTTTTCACAAAACTGTAATACCATGATCACATCTAAAAAAACAACAGTAACTTCTTTATGTCTTCAAATATTCAGTCAAACAATTTCTAATTATCTCATAAATGTAGTAATTTTTTAATAGTTTGAATTGGGATATGAAGAAAGTCACATTGTGCTAGATCTATTAAGTGTCTTTTAATCTATAAATTTCCCCTTCCATTGCTTTTTTTCTAACTTGCAATTTTTCAAATTGAAGAAACCAGGTTGTTTGTTCTATAGCAGTCAGCATTTTGCTGATTAATATCCCCATGACAGGTTGAAGTTTAATTTAATTTTGGATTCCTAATTGTTCTTATAAAATGGCTTAAAATAGATTACACAGCGTTGCAGCATTTAAAATAGAATCTATTGTTTCAGAAGATTGCCTGTCACACCAGGTGGTGTAAATTAGAGCTGTTAGAAAGAGCCAAGTTTCTTACCCTAAATGATAGGGTGGGATTGTGTGCCTGGTTCTTGTATTGTGAAGAACTATCATTGAGGCATCAAATGTCTATTTATCAAAAGTGGCTTAATTCCAATTCTGTGTAATTAAGTGAAAGCAAAATGGAAACCATGATTGTCACCAACCAGAAATAGCTGACAGACCTTGATATTCTGTAATATTCCCAAAGTTATTTCACCAATCCTAAAGCCCTTAAGAGGTCACTGTCACAAATAAAGATTATACAAAGCAGAGAGGCACTATTTTATGCATAAATGACAACAGCCAAAAGTGATCCAGTTGAGTATGTAGACTCCGAATGTGAAGAAAGAGAGAGCTCGTGCTATGATTATTATAAAGAAAAAGGTGGCATGTAAAATGCTAGTATTTCTTTTTAAATACTGTACACTTTTTTTCCTGAAAAGCTGTTAAACTGGTGGCACATTCTAAATCTACAAAATCTGAAAATGAATAAAATATGTTAATTAAATTCTTGACCATTTGCTTAGGATGGATTCCAAAATGTGGCATTCTGCGCAGAACGGTATGAAAACTCAAAAATTACATAAAGAAATTATGTAACTGAAAGGAATGTAGCATGATCTGACATTAAAACTGTGCTGCCTTGAGCTAGTTGTTCACACCATGTCCAACAGATGTCACTGTGTTTCTCTCAAAATTTTAAAATAGTCCGTGTGGCCACAGGGCGCAGGTTTGGAATGCTCGCCTGAAGTTTAGTGCAATACTCTATTTTCTGTACTTTGTTCAAGAGCAGGTCTTCAAGAACAATAGGACAGGAAGGGGTGGTAAGGGGGTGGGGGGTGGGGAGAGGGACATCTGACAGTAGTAAGAGACCAGAGCTGAATTTATTTAATTTGGCCATCAGATTACCTTACATTCCCACAACCATTCTAACTGGAATCATTTTAAATTTGTAACAGTAAAACTCTGATGGGCCTTAGAACATTTTCCTGGTCCATTTACTTCCGAGCTCTCCTAGATGACTGTGGCATACCTTCACTTCTTTCCTCACACCTCAGACACAACCTACCCCATCCTCACCCTCCTGTGGCTTTGCTTCCTGCTTCACTGAGAGGTGAAGAGACTTTCAGACTGCCTTCACCACATCTACACCTATGTACTCTGCCTCCTTACAATACCACAGACGAACCATCTGTGCTGTTATCTGAAGCCAAGAGCTCCATTTGTGCAATAGATGCCGTTTCTTCTCATCTGCTCAGATAATCACTTTGACATTTCTCCTCTCTCTCCACTACATCATCATTTTTTCACTCTACTCAGTATTTCCCAACAGCATGCATGTTATCATGTCCTACATGCAAACTAGCTAGGTACTTTAGAACTCAAGGAAAGACATGACGGTGAGTTTCTTGTTTCATTTTTTCACCTTTATATTCTGGCCTGGGAAGTGGAGAACCCCAGAACCTGGAAATACTGACAAAAGGAGCCGGCAATTTTTAAAAAGCCCCAAGAGAAGACTGTTTTCCTAGCTGAAGGAGTGGGAAAACAGAAGCTGAGCAGGACAGAACCCTTTTGACGATGCTTGCCCTACTCCAAACAAAAAACAAAAAACCCATTGCCATCGAGTTGATTCCAACCCCTAGCTACCCTACAGGACAGAGTAGAACTGCCCCACAGGGTTTCTAAGGAGCGACTGGTGGATTCAAACTGCCAGCCTTTTGGTTAGCAGCTTTATCACTTAGCCACTGCCCTACTCCAAACACACACACACACATCCACAAAACAAAACAAAAACCCATACACTTGCCTCTCTCCCCTGGGTTCTGTGCCCAGCGCCAGTAATGCGGGAAGAACTCTAACTTCCATCCTTGTCCTTAAGTAATGACCCACCTCCCCCTCCCTATCAGGCCATGTGCAAGGAGTCCGTACAGACTGTGAGGAAAGCTCAGACTTGCATCTCTACCCTGCAGTAATGAGGTGGTACTTCTCCCTGCTCAAGTAGAGAGTGAAAAGAGAATTACAAAGAGGATAAAGAAGAAAGCTAGAGAAAAGAATTCTTTAAATATGTGTATGAAGTTCTGGGGAGACTCCCAGGTGACCAACACATGAAACCAACCAAAATTTAAAAAAAAAAAAAAAAAAAAGGTGAACTATAGGTTGAAATGCCACCAGGATTCAGATTGGCCTCTAGGTAACATACAAATGGGGCAGAGCAGAATAGTATCGCAAAGGCCTTGAAAACTAAATTGACATCTGAGCAAAAGTATCAAAAAAAGCAAAAGTGAGCCAGGATGTATGTTTTAAACCTAAATAAGGTAACTGCCTGCAAAATTAGAAGATTTAAATAGGAACAAGTTTCTCACAGCATAATACCCAAAATGTCCAGAACGCAATCAACTATTACTCATCATACCAAGAACCAGGAAAATTTCACCTCAAATGAGAAATGACAACCAAACGATGCTAACACCAAAATGACACAGATATTAGAAGTATCTGACAAGAACTTCAAGACTGTCATTATAAAAATGCTCTGATGAGCAATTATGAACAATCTTAACACAAATGCAGAAAAAGTCTCAAAAGAAATAGAAGACATAAAGGATCCAATGAAAATTTTAAAACTGAAAAATTCAAATAATCAAAATTAAAAACGCACTAACAGGTGGTGGTTTTCTGACAGGTCAAATTTAGGAAAATACAAGTTATAAGGCTGATGTTAATTTCTAGAAAATTGCAGAATGTATGGTTAAACAAATGGTTTTTGAGCAGCCTAAAAACAAATGGGTTAGTATGAGGATTAGATAAATAATAAATATGAGACTGCTGACAGTAACTGTCAGATCAATGTTAGTTCCATTTCTTCCCACTTTCCCCATCATTCTCCCCTTTTCCTCACCAGAAATTTACCATATTTCTAACGAAATATTTCTTGTTGGAACATTTTTACAGAATGATTGACAG